TGACGAAGTATCAAGTTGTGTGTCGGTTGTCGTGTAGGGTACTACGAGTGTAGTAGCTGTGTCGTTTGCTTGTACCGAAGGGAAATCGACGTAGCTAGGGTTTCCTTCTAGGTACGCAGCTTTGAGTCGATCGATACTGATGCTATCTTTCGTACCGTTCTTATCGACTACATAGTACTTAGGTTCGCGTTGAAGAACTTTGAAGGGTCCTTCGTATGCTGATTCGAGGGGTCGTCGATGTGAGTCTCGATGAACAAAGACGTGTGTACTATGTCGTAATTCGGGTTGAACGAAAACATCAGTTGATTGAGGTCGAGTGTGAGCAGGTTTAACTGAACGCATAGCGTTTGTAAGCCTACTCGTGTAAGAGTTTAGATCCATGTTCAATGAAGAAGCTGAAGGATCCACGAATTCTCCTGGGAGTCGGAGTGCCGTTCCGTAAACGAGTTGAGATGCCGTGTATCCAATGTCAGCTTTCACTGCATTGCGGATACCTAGCAAGACGAGTGGAAGAGCGTCTGTCCACTGTGAAACGTTTGAAGCTGATAATGAGGCTTTTAGTTGTTGATGAAAACGTTCTACCAACCCGTTTACTTGTGCGTGGTAGGCGGTCATTCGCAAGCGCGTGATTCCTAATAGTGAGGTCAGACAACGGAAAAGTCCAGATTCGAATTGGCGTCCGCGGTCTGTAGTGACTGTGGAAGGGCAGCCGAAATTCGCTACCCATCGTTCGACGAAAGCGCGGGCCACGGTTTCAGCAGTAACGTCCTTAATCGGTACTGCTTCTGGCCATCGAGTAAAACGGTCTACGCATGTTAGGAGATATGAGTATCCGTTCGAGTCGGGTAAGGGTCCTACCAAATCTAGATGGACGTGGTCGAAACGAGCGTCAGGGGTTTTGAAAGAACCTAAGGGGCATTTGTTGTGTCTGATTACCTTAGATTTCTGACAGCTTACACAGGAGCGTGACCAATCCCTCACGTCTTTATTCATGCCAGGCCAACAAAAGCGTTCGGCTATAAGTTCGATTGTTGCACGAGCACCTGGATGAGAAAGATTGTGCAACGTATTGAAGACGTTGCGGCGATAATGTTTTGGTACAATTGGACGATCCCTACCTGTAGATGTGTCACAGAGTAAGGTTTCCTTACCTGTTCCCATCTGCCTAATACTTAGTTTTAGAGTTGTCGAGGATAACTCATGCTGAAGATCAATGTCTTCTTTTTGAAGCTGAGCGAGTTTAAGAAGGTCGATTCCTTGGAAACTGTTCAAGGAATTTATTCAAGACAAAGCGTCTGCGACTACATATTTTGCTCCAGAAATATGTTGCATGTCTGAAGTAAACTGCGAAATGCAGTCGAGTTGTCGAGACTCTCGCGGTGAGTACTTGTCTGAAGATGAATTTAAAGAGAAGGTAAGAGGTTTGTGATTGGTAAAAAGCGTGAATTCTCTTCCTTCGATGGAATGTTGGAAATGCCGTACAGCACAATACATAGTTAGGAGTTCCCTACCGAACGTGCTGTACCTAGATTCCGCGTCTAGCAACCGTCTCGAGAAAAATCCTAAGGGTTGCCACGAGTTGTTAACCCATTGTTGTAAGACTGCTCCGATTGCTGAGTCGGATGCGTCTACGGCGATACTAATGGGCGCTTGAGTGTCTGATGAGCAAGCAGGGTTACTTTAGCGATGTGTTCCTTAACTGTGGAGAATGCTTTACGGGCTATGTCGTCTAAACTAATTGATTTTGCATTTCCACGAAGCTGATCGGTTAACGGTTTCATTAAGGATGCTCATTTAGGTATGAACCGTCTATAGAAACTTACGAGTCCGTTGAAAGTTCGTAAAAGCTTGATCGTGGTCGGTTCTGGGTAATCCAGAATGGCCGCCACTTTGCTCCTAAGGGGTCGGATGCCTTGGGCATCAATGGTGTGTCCTAGGAAGTCTAAGGAGTTTGTTCCGATTTGGCATTTCTGTATGTTGACAGTAATGCCATGCCTTTGGAGTCGATCGAAAACAATGTCCAGATGCTTGAGATGCGATTCTCTGTCCGGATTACAGGTGGTCCTGTAGTCGTTATGTGATGTGTAACATTGCTGGTTACACAAGGCAATTTCGATTGCGATTGGTATATCCCGGGGTATTTGTCGAGTACTGATTGGTACAATGGGTCTATGGTGTGCTTAATCGTGACTGGGGATAACCTGCAACCGGAACAAGGAGTTACGCTAACAGATAACTTAGTGTTTCCGTCTATTAACCTTCGTGAGCGTGTGTCGATGAGTAGATTGTGGTGTTGTAACAGGTCTATACCAATGATTGGCATAGAGACATCTGCAACCACGAAAATCCAGTGTATGGGTTTGCGTAAACCCACGTTAAGGTAGACGTACCTTTTACCGTAAGTAGCGATCGGCTTTCCGTTTGCCGCCTGTAAACTTAAAACAGACTAGCGAAGTCTGTCGTCGGGATTTGCTGGAAGAACGCTAACTTCTGCGCCAGTGTCGACGAGGTAGCGAACTTTCGTGGTCGCATCCGTGACATATAATAGGCGGCTGTGTTCGCCGGCTACGGTTGCCGTTAACGCGTGCCGGCTGGGAAGTTTCCCGAAATCTTATTCGTGTCAGTGGATTTTAAAGTCGGATAATTGCAAGGTTTCCTGCAATTTCTGGAAAACTTACCGTACTGGTTGTGATACCAGCACCAGTCGGGATTGTCTGTCTCTCGTGGTCGAGAGCCAGATCGCTTACGTGAAACGCTTCTACGCGGGATTTTTGACCGACTACGGTCATTGCGAACTCTAAGATATCGTGTAAGCGTGTGACATAGTTCGGCCATGTCAGTCGTGGTCGATTGGGGTTTTTCTTTGACGGAAAAAACCTCGGCCTTAGAAGATCTAGTGATTTCCAAGATTCAATCGGCAGATGCAGCTAGTTCATCTATGGCATTGTTTTGAAATGAAACAAGCACTGCCTGCACCTGTTGAGGGAGTTTAGACAAGAAAAGTTGTCTAAATAGGCCATCATCGAAAGTTCGTTGGCCGATGACTTCTCTCATTCTAAGCAACATGTCCGTCGCAGAACCATGTTGCAAGTCGATATCGTTAAGGAGTTGGTCTAACCGTTGTCGATCAATTAGGTCTCCTCGTTTTAAAATCGATAGCTTAAGCGTTTCGTAAGGTTCGGGAAAATCACTGGCAAACATACTAGGTGTTACGTGCCTGTTAAACTCGCGCAGTAACGCCTTAACTACCGCGAGGAAACGTGTGCGCGAATCCGTGATTCCGTGCAAGCAAAAATCGGCTTCTGCATAGTAGAACCAGGACTCGATATTGTTGGGCCAAAATGGCGTTAACTGAATCGAAATAGGGGGAATAGACTTAAACTTAAGAACCTTAGGTGAGTGTTCCGTCATTGTAATATAGATAACAAAAAATGTCTAATTAAAATATATCCGAGAAAAAAAATTCGCGAAAAAAAGTATATCACAATATATAAAATTCAAATAAAGAATAACAATGAATAATAATATTCCAAAATGGAACAGACTCACAGTATATTGACTTGGTGTACCAGATCACGTCGCGTTCACCAATGAATGTGCAACGGATGTTCTAATTTTACAACTAGTTACCAGTAGCACCTTCTATGTTCGATCGTTCCCAGTCAGATAGAAATCAGAAGTCAGACGAGAAGAGGCAAGAAAGATATATTTGATTCGTTACCAATATATCGAGGACCTTTTCTACAAGCTGGCTAATGAAACGTAGGAGCTGTGTCCCACGCCGTGTTGAAACGTGATCTGGTGCGGATGCATGACCGAAAGCCTTCAGCTAAACAAGTCCACTTAAACAACGTGGTCAGCATCCAATGTCGAACACTTAATGAGCTATTGATTTTGGGGAATTATTTACAGCTACAACTTTGCCGTATACATGAGGACATGATTGTGTTCAATCTAACACGGAACTGGTTCCATTGGTTGCCTATTACTTTTGTGTGGTGTTTTTATGCACAAATGATTCTTGTACTTGATGTTTTTCTGATTTCGAATTTCAAATACAATAAGTTCGTTTGAACTCCTCTAGTTTGACTTGCAGTAAATTTTAATATTTTTGGGAATTCCTTGTTAGTACGATAATTAAAATTCTCCTAATCATTACACTTTGACTGTGTAAGCAGACGAAATGCAAGAGCGGATTTGATCACCTGTATTTACCATAGAAGCTTCAAAGGTAGCTTGCCTGTTTGTTCTGGATCCTGAATATTGTGACAATTCATAGTCACTTAGTTTGATTCACCAATCACCTTTTTCTTCAAGTGACTTCAGGTTACTAACACGCATACTACAAATTATAGAACACATTTGTACGCTCATTCCACGTGTCTTATAAATTTATCCGATTACGTCTAGAAACCAGGGGTTGATGTTGAAAGGATATCAAAGTTTATTCCAATCATTAGGCAAAGTATAGAAGTTTATGGCATCTAAGGTGACTGGTTTTCTTTAGCTACGTTCTGTACGGAGTATAGAGACAATTTTTGAGTGGATATTTGACCAAGCGCCTTTATCCAGTTACACCATAGAGTTTATCAGCGGTGTCGAATACTTACAAAACTATTCGGGAGATAAACATCAGTGATATTTAGTTCTATGGGTGTGAATACGTTCTACTATTACCTAGTATCTTAAATTAATGTATAAGATTCTATTTCCTAGGCAATCTGAGAGTTAGTTTATGAATTTTGCATTCAGTAGAAATCGCTACCCAGAAAAATGATGCCAACTGCCTCACGTAGTTATTTCAAAGTAGAGTTAGTTCTTTATTCAAACATTTACTCGAAAAATTGATATGCATTGGATGATTCAGTGTCCTGAGGTCCAAAAGTGGTACATTTCATGACGTCAGGAGGACATTTGTTTTAATTTGTCAGCTTCGAAGTGTAGTCAATAGCAAACCTCAAGACCGATTTAAATTAAATAAAATTCGACTGGACAAAGTCATGAGAAACGAGCCGTCAAAATTATGCATCTGCCAGATATGTAACTGTGGGTAGGTTATGTTTTGATAATCCCATATTACACTTAATCTTTCGTCGAAGTTTTCAAACGCTGACTTTATCTTTTTTAGTTGGTATTTTCTATGTATTTGAGATATCAGTGAATTATTCATCCAATGTCACCATACATACTGCTTGATATCAAGCATTATGCATAAGATTACATATATATTGTATGTATAACGCATGTATTTGTAGATGTTACATTTTTTGTAGATTGTGATAGCTGCCAAAATGAACAGTAAAATATTGCGTAACTTCGAGTTTGCACCACACTTTTGTCGATAAAAATTTTACTTCTCATCTTTATATGCCTAATTTTGTCCTTAGGGGACTTTTAGTAAAATGTCAAGGCCTATCTGAAACTTGTTTTCAGCACCTTTGTCTCAGAGTTAAAGACGTTCTTCTTATGCAGGTCTACATTGAAAGCAGTCGTTCTCTTTATAATTCAGAACTACAAAAATCATTTTTTTATTTTTTCCCACCACTCAGGGTTTTCTCGTTTACTTGCTTATCATAAAAGTGATGCATCCTTGCCGTACCCAAAAATAATTTTCAGCTATGAATTACGGTGCTATGAGTAAATAGTGAAACTAAACATCGAAGCAAACATGTAACTCTGACTTTTGACTAATTTTTAGATTTGCCATGGCAAAACACGGACATTGCGAACATTTTAGATTTCAAAAACAACTCCAACTAACCTTTCATAGCCGCCACAAAACTAACATTCTAATGGTGATACTTCAGATTTAAATAGCATTTGCTGTAGTCTGTTATAAAAAATGTGAATTTAGACAAACCTGTGCTAAATGCATTATCGTATCCTTGAAGGTATCTTAAAACCAAAGTTCAATGTGGTCAAAGTAATCTATAATCGAAAAACTTGTCACACAAAAAGTGGCAATGGTATTTAAACTGGTTGTGGAGTAATCCATAATTGTGCTTATACTGTTCAAAGACACCCATTTTTTCGGAGGGCTTTCTATCGATTTTTAGATAACAAAAAGTTCAGCATCCGGAGAAGAAGATTTTGAATTTGAGCTGCGATGTAAACATTAGTACTGTGATTCAGGCACTTTCAGATGACAAGTCCAACATGGTAAGAAACGTGAGTCCTGAGTTCTACAACTAGTCTCACATACCCTTACCTCAGTATTTATGACTCGATGATCATGCGAAGATAATATTTATGAAATGCACGTATGCCAAAAGAGAGTGATAAAAATTCAGTTCCTTTCATCAACAGTGGAAAAATTCAGACATTTACAAACAAATAAAAAATAAATATTTTGTCAGCTGATTGGAAGCACTTAAAAAAGCTTTCGGTCAAGATGTTGATCTATTTGACAATTAGTCAGCGAAACCGATGTGCAATCTTGATAAAACTAGGGCGAAACGTGAAATTCCAACTCCCGTCAAATAGTGTGGTTTACAGAAACATCGTTATCAGGTTAATTAAATTACAACGGTCCTCATTTCAGATTCAGATTTTCAGTAGTTAATTTCACGTTATCTAGCCTTAATCACACCTCAGTATTTAGTCAATTAATTAGATAACTAAGATAATCAGAATTGTTGAAATCGTAGTATAAACTAGTAATCCCAGGAATAACGCAATTTAATCAAGAAGTACTAGATGAGCCCGAACGAATGTATTGTATTTGAAATTCAAAATTACAACAGTCATCAATACAAACAAGTCATTGATTTATTTAAACATCACATCCTCTACAGCTCAAATTGGAGTGTAAGTGTCTGTAATCAATTGTTCGTCTTCTTCTTAAGTTCATCTTACATCTGTCCGAAAGTGTATTGGATGTAGACTCTGTTTTATCTAGAATGCACTCGTAAGTATTAGAATTAACAACCGAAATCGGAACAGACTCACCTGGGTTCTGGAATTGTATACAATCAGAATGTCGGTTTTGTAGTGAAACCATTGATATTTAGAATTTGCATCATAGACTTTTCAACAATATCCTCACCCACGAAATAATGTTGGGTCCTTACATCGCAATGTTTTAGCCAATATGGCGTTCCTAATTTGCACTATCTTCTCAAATCTCACGTATTGACTACTGTATGTGAGTATTTGGGGATAAGCACTGATATATAATTTGAGGTATTCCATCATGTGACTTTGACTTGAATAAAAATCATGATACATATTCTTTTTGTTATTCATATTAGAATATACAGATGGATATGCATTTATATATGTAATTAACACATGTGATTCAACTAGACTTGATTTACCTGCGAAACAATCGAATAGAAAACATTCATCTGCCTCATATTCATTAGGATAATCTTGGACTTGATTTGGATTCTCTGTCTGTGCAAACTTCACTTCTGGGAAAGCTGGTTCTCTGATTGTTTTGGTAAATTTTGCTATCCCCTCTGATTCATCATACCCCTGGCCAGGGATTCTATTCAACATACATTGTCCGTGAGAGTATCCAACATCTGATACAATGACATCAGAAATATGACTACAATTCGACTCATTCGGGACATATTTTTCACATTCATTAGGAATATCATTAAAGATAAATTGATTGTGAGGACGACTGACACTTGATATGATATCAGAATTTGATTCTTCTGAAATATTTTCCTCAAATTGATTAACAGTTTCATTAGAGAATAATGAATCATCAGGGAATTCAGCATCTATCAACACTGAATTTGGTTTTTGATCATGATTTGACTAATTCAGCATTCTATTCTCAGAGTTGTAAGAAATTTCACCAGAAGTATGTGGATTATTACGATAAACCATATCTGGTACAATAGCATGAGAAATCCAATAAGTTTGTTGACTAAACATTTTTGTCGCACAATGATTCTGGGTTTCATTCAACTCTGGACTGTTACGAGACGTTATACCACTTCTAGATAAAGATAACTGATCATTAGAAGCATCCATCTTAGCATTACTTTCAGAGAAATGAACCATGGTATTACAAACTGACTGACTGTGTCCAGTTTTACCACATTTAAAGCATTTAGAATTACGAAATATACATGAATTACATGGGTGAAACGTGCCACAGAACAAGCATTTACTAAACTCGTGCTCATCTTCATGGACTGTTTCACAGATCAATGAAGTATTATCTGAATAACTTTTATTACGCATCGAACTGCGACGACTTAATAAAGCAGTGGAATTCCTGATGTTTTGGCGAGTCATTTTATCGGATTTTTTCCTTTACGGCATTTGAAATTTGTATGCTTCACATGGTCCAACAGTAGTTCTTTGAGAGTTGTATAAGGGAGTGAGATCGGTTTGTCTGGAAGTGCCAAAGTCTTTATAAGGTTGTATGCTTCTTTTCCGATGAACATAAGGAAATGAGCCACAATATTAAAATCTTCATCATCTTCCTTGGTCATAGCCCAGATTTCGAACCTTTCCATGTACTCCTCAAAAGCATTAAAATTTGAATGTATATCCAACCGTTCAATCACAGTCTCAATCGCGACGCCAATATGATAATTAGAAGTATTTGAATTTTTAGTATAAACTAGTAATCCCAGAAATAACGCAATTTAATCAAGAAGTATTAGATGTATTGTATTTGGAATTCAAAATTACAACAGTCATCAATGCAAAGAAGTCACTGATTTATTTAAACATCATAGTAACTGAACTGAACTTGGTTGATAAACGTTAACGGTTGCCAAGAGTTAGGCCATATAACACTGATTATTACTAACTTATCGACGGATATAACATAAAACCATCAATCGTTAGTTCGGATTACCTTAATTTGGTTGACGCATTAGATAATTTCTTATTGTAAAACTATAATAGGCATCTGTTAAATTTATTGACAACAAACGTTAACTTTTTACGTGGTTATATTTGTAAACCTAGTAAAACTACAAGGCATTACAAAATAGGTTAGCTGGTCGTTGAAAAAAAAACAAATTACTTTTTAAAACAAGGACATGAAAAGTACTATCAGCTTATTGAGTAATACTTTGGTCTAATGAAAGGAATTGTTGTCTTGCACAATTGGCCGCTTTAGGCACCACTTCTAAGTACTCGAAGTCAGTTGATGTTGGTACATTTTAATATCTTATGATACATGCCTATATTTAACATTCAAAATTATTTATTAAATGACGGATGGCAAAGGCGAGAAACTCAAATGAGGAAATTAAATGAACTTTTGCCTGGTATAATAAAACCCACAAAAATTGAGGGATATTGTCTCTATTGAAGAATGTCAAAATGTTTGACTTGGTTTTAACTGAATTACTACGCTTATATGTGTTTGAAATATCTGAGTGGACTTAAGGCTTACTAGTTATGATATAAGCCAGTAAGCAATAACTGCAACCAATAGGCAATATAGCGCTCAGACAATGTAAATATCTTAACAAATTCTAAATTTTACGATGTTCTTAACTATGAACAGTTTTCTAATTTCTTTCCCGATCAACCTGTTTTATTATTTATGCTGTCTTGAACCACCACTTTTCTTAATGTTTATGTCAATTCTATTTTTCTCTATTGATCCAAATAATGCTTTTAAGTGAATACAAATATGTTAACGCAGTAAATTTTAGTGAATCCCAAAATAACTTTGAAACTGTTATGATTAACATCAACCGGTGAATGAGGACTGCTAACATTTTCACATAGGTTATGTCTTTTCAAAATTGATGATAAGTTTTTCTTTCTCAGAAATCGGCGTATTTTTAATATAGAAACTGTCCTACTTAAACACCATATCACTTTCTTGACCAGCACTTTGTAATATCATGACACGCTTTATAAATTACGCTGCTAAAGTCTCCGCAACCTTTACGAGAACTTCACGAGAGGTCAATTAAGTGATTTTTTGCGACAACGACCGAGAAGTTTAATATACAGGTATTTTGATGTATTTAGACATATGCACACCACAAACGTGCCAGCTATTTACAACGTCACTGAGGTAGGTGGGTGGAATCCCAGAAATTCCAGATGATTTTCAAA